TGATGGATTAGGGATTTTTCCTAATCCAATATTATTTGAACAGTACAAGAAAGCCCAATTTTATCTGGCCCAAGATATAAATCAGGTTAATTATTCAAGACAGAACCAGAGATATATGGACATAAGAATATATTTGAAGTGATGTGGAGACATTTGGCGGGACCCGTGGAACACTATCACATGGAAACCACATGCTGCACATGGGCTTCACATGGACAATGTCTCCTCTTGTCTCCATCAATTATTTCCTTCTCCTCTTTAAATGCATGCTACGAAGGAGGGAAGAGGGAAGCCAATTTCCTACTAGTTCTACTATTATTCTTCATTCTTCTCCTTCTCTTAGCATGGAGCTCCATTAATGGCTCCAAGCTCCTACAGTGATGTATATGTAAATTCCCCCGAGATTAATAAAAGTTCCTCCCCTTTGGCATGGCACCGCCTAAAAAGGCCCGTGGTTTTCTCCCGATTTGGTTTTCCACGTATAAATACTTTCTCTCCACTTTATTTGTTTATTTAATTTCCGGATTTCGCTATTCGGTGCGGTGCCGACCCGGTACCGATTTCATCGGGTCGGCGCCCCGAAAAAGCGGTTTCCATCAAGAGGCAACCACCATTTACCAGATCTGATTGCTTGGCCAACGTCTCAGGATGGAAGCCGTCCTCCAGTAACACGGTCAGACACGCCTTTACAATGGCAACAATGTTAGATTTTGGCGATGGTAACTCAATACAGAAGTGGTAGTAGACATGAGCGTCAAAGAATAATAAGCTATTCATTGGTGACGATGAGATCCTAGCTGAATAGAGGCGGTCTATCTTTAAGAGTATGGTTGATGCATGCACATGTATATTTTTAATGAACTAACTGGTCATTAATCTTCAATTGTTTGAGATAAATTTTAAACGGAGCGTAGTGTAACGGACGTGTTAATGATTATCATTAACCCACCACTAATAAGAGCCATTAATGACTAGCTATCATAAGTCTGCTTTAATCTTATGGTGGAGGTTACAAATTTTTTCCATGCTAGCCTATTAAAAGAGGAGTTAAACTCTCTCACTTGGGGGATGGGATTCTCTGTCCCCAACTTCCTGTCCCAACTCTCTATCTCCCTCCCTCCTTCACTCACATTTTGTCACGTAAACCACCTCATTCTAATTTAACACACACCCACCCCATATGACCCCCTATCCCACCACCCATCAAAGGGGGTGGGTGGGTGTTAAATTATGGTGGGTGGATTACATGGCAAAATTTGAGTGGAGGAGGAAGGGGGGACGGAGGTGGGACAGGGAGTTGGAGGGAGTTGGGGACAGAGGATCCCATCCCCTCACTTGGACATATGCTTCATGCGTGAGGGAAAAAAAGAGAACAATAGAGACTTTTTCTTTATTAAAGAGTATTCTCCAATTTCTGAGAAAGTTGTTTGTGTTTTTTCCCAATAATCCTCTTCTATTCTCTATATTTTTTAGTCGGCAACACTCTAACGACGTTCTCGTTCGTAGGTGTGAGGTTGGTCTATACAACCACCACACACGATAACGATTTTATCCTGAGAGGAAAGTACCCACGTTCTCCAG